CAGTTAATATTTTGGCGCGAATATTTACTGTGCCTCTGTTCAATTAGTAGTGCATGAGCGGAAGTATAGGCACATCATTGTGCAGGGCGGATCCGGATGCACGTTATGAAGGAATGGAAGGGTTCCCGGTCCTGGGATTTGTAGGAGGCAAGGACTAAGTGGAGTACGCTTGTCTTATATTGTACACTTAGGATTCCCCTTTCCATGTAGTATATTCTTTTCGGTGTCCTGGTCAAGTCTTATGGATGTTTAGTGTGCTATATGTGCGGGAAAACCCCAAGGGAGTCCATCCTTGCCATAGGATCCTAGGAGCACATGACACTTGTGGATTATGGAAAGACGGAGGTTATATAAACGAAGGTAACACATAAGCACAGTGGACACACACGCACTTGGGAGGATACAGTAGGCGGATGGAGCGGGAAAATAGTCTACAAGGTTATGCGAAAAGTAGTAACAACTGTTTATGGCAGTATGAGGAATATGTATTCAAGCGGGCGAAAATGAATAAGCAGACTTGGTAATGACCTATAACGCCTGGTAGGGGATGCTAAGTTTCACTCTGTGTGTACATGTTGCCACGTGACGGAACGAATAGACCACGCAGGGTGGGGGTGAAGGGTTATAATTGAATATTACAAACACAAAATAACAGGGGGCCTGTACACCAATAATAGGACGCAATAAATTTCTCACGCCACCTTTGTTGGAGCCCGTTCAGGGTAACCAATTTCATATTTCATGGTGTACCTAAATTCATGATATATGAAAAAACGGCTGCTTAGAGTAATGCGGAAGCACATACATGGTTGCAGACACCTATCATACGTGGCACGAAATCGTATTCACACGGGATGATTCCCAATTTCAGAAGTGAACTCGTTAGAAGTATATGGGACAAAATTGAATACAGGAAGAATTGTGGTTCCAGAATAATTATTGTCAGCGGTGTACATAATATAAAGGAATACATGTTCCGCGCGGTGACGCAAAAGTGTTGCCGCTTATCTAAATCTGTTGTGTACTCGTGGTACAATATATTTGTGACAGTACAAGCGCAACGGCTTGTGTGCAGAATGCGTCAACATACGTGCTCGTACGTCTGAATATGTACATTTTTTGTTTGGTCGGTGCTGCGGCAAATTCCAAGTTGTGCGCGCGTAATTTTGTCCAGGCATTCTTTGTTTTTACGTTAGTTTTTTATTATTATTTTATTATTTTTCATTTGTGCAAATATTTATTTTTTTTTTTTTTTTGAATCTACCTTACGTTGTTGTAGCGTTACGTCCCAATTCTGCTCTTATTCTTTCTCTGCTTTTTCTTGTCTTGGACGCAAGGAATTACACGCAGGGTGTGTAAAGTCATGGGCTTAGGAAAGTGTGTCTACAAGCATGTGCCAACAAAATGTCCACCCACAAAAAAACGACTAACAATGTAAGACGGTACGGGTGATCGAATTAAATATGTTTTGAGGGAATAACTCTGGGATTAAAGTAATATGTATACCGGCGAAAGGCTGTGAAGAGCGATTTTTTCCAACGTGAACGGGCAGACAGTGTCCTTTATGGATTGCCGTCATCCTCCAGTATTCAGTAAAATACCAGCACAAGACCAATCACGGGAAAAATGGAATAGTACGGGTCAATACAGAATGCTACCATGCCCGCCCCAGTCCCTTGTTATGCCCTACGCAGGGTAAAAGGCCAAAAGTTATTGATGAACGAAAACAAGCGCGAGCGGCGTTAAACAATTGTTCACAGCGAGCGGCGAAGCAGCATGGAATTATGGCGCTGATGGTAGTAGTAGCAAGCCGTGGGGTCTGGATTCGTAATTGCATATAATTCCAGTGTCCAATACAACCGGAAAAAGGGAGCATCCATTAACCGCGTTTTAGAAGCACAACGACCATGTTCATTCCCTGTAAAGTGCACTGGAAGGTGTGTGTCATATTATAACACAAAAAGGGGACATGCGTTTTTTTAGAAGGTACGGTACGATTAACGTTTTTACGAAGAATACGGCCACTTCAAAAGAAGCGTGTATTTCCATGTATACAAAAATCTTGAGCGAATCCCACGGAACATTACACGTCACGTAGCACATATCGGCGAACAGATGATACAATATATTATCTGCGCAAATGGGCCGTATTATTATGCGGGGGAAACTTGTCACATCTTCTGACTTTTACAATATTTAAGATCCTGCCCTTTTTGTGCATATCAAAAGGTAAGGTGTAAAACCGTTTCATGGGCATTGTTGAAGTTTGTATACGCAGGTGAAACAAAGCAACAATACCGAAGGAAACAAGAAAGGGAAATGTGTTACATATTATAAGAATAGGCACTGTATGAATTAACTACGATGGTCATTGTGCAATATATATGTTACACATATAGGATGTACCAAAATTAATTATTCGCTATATATGCACATATTTATATATAGAGAATAAGAGAAGGACGCATGTTTTTTTTTTTTTTTTTTTTTCAAATGCTCTGTCCTTTCATCATGCCTATGGACAACTAATTACGCAGAAACAAAACAGAACTATATATGCAACGAATATTCCTATTTGGAAAAATGTAAACCATATTATAATGTAGAAAACGGAACTATAAAGGAAAAATAAGCCATATCATACAACATGTATGCAATATCATATGAGGGTCAATCTAAGAAAATATATACAAGCATAGAGTAACTACCAAGTTGCCTGCGGGAAATGCAATACAGGAAGTTACTTGTGGTTTCTTGCGTACATCTGGTTGCTTCGGTACTTCTGAGTTCTGGGGTACTTCGCGCTTCTGATCTTGCTTTCATGTAATTTTATCCTTTAGAGCTTTCTTCGGCACTTTTGCCTTCGCTTTCGGTAGCAGCACCGGAATGTCAGAAGTGAGGACATACTGACTGTACCCATTGCAACTGCAGTGCAGGGTATGCCAATCCCAAGTGCACACAAAACTCCTTTAACACCCTGAGTCGCACCAAAACACGCAAAAGCACACTTAAGTACACCCCAAGCTACACCTCCAAGTATACCGCCAGCAGCAAACATTATTATACAGTAAATGACAATAGCCAGAACGAAGAACTTGCAGTACCTATAAGTAATATATGTAGCAAGTTTCCGTCTACTAAAGTCTCTCCCGGTTTTCATGTTAACTGCTTCAGCCTGCGTCCCGTTCATTGTGCTTTCGGTGCTTCCGGTCATTCCTGTAAATTAGGCGTGTGCAATATGATTCGATGAACATTCTATCCCCAACGAGGCGTTTTTCTTTGGGGGCAGAAAGAGCTCCACATACAACTTTCGCGAAAATTTTTTATTTTCTTTCCTCGTGTGTGCACATATCCGTTTTACCTGCACCTGAAGATCCTTTCGGTTCCTGTGCCATTTTTGCACTTTGTGCTTTATTTTGTGGGGATGATGGCAACGGCTCTTCTGCACCCAACTTCGAAACGGATGTTCTAGATTTGTTAACTGACGCGGCGACTGCTACATCGGCAGATAATGTGTCGGTGCTATCAACTTCTTCTTCTTTTGCATCATGTGTTATTTTCCACTTTCTTTCATAATGCACTTGTTGTGGTATCTCGTACTCTACAATTTTTCGTTCTTTTAGAATAGTTCCTGGTCCGTCTCTATAACATCGTTTTTTTGGTGTCGTCCATTGGTTGCGAGAGTATACTCGTTTGGGGGGAAATTCATAGGCTTCTGCATAAGGTTCGTCGACATCGTCGTACGCACTTTCATAGGCTCCTTCATAGGTTGGTGTGGCATCGTCATAGTGTTCGAATTCCATCGGATCTAATTCAAGCTCATCATCTGATGGAAGTCGTTTTACCTTTGCTAAACTGCGGGCAACTCTGTTACATACGTGTAATTGGGGCAAGGGTTCTTCTTGTGTTTCGAAGTCATCTGGATGCTGTAGAAAAGGGAAGCGAAGGGAAGTGGTGATGCGTTGAATGAACAAAAGAACAGCAATATGAGAAAGGAACAAACAGGGGAAGTCAGAACCGGAAGAGAAAAAATATACATATAAATATTCAGGCATGTTGCGTATGCCATATATGTAGCCCAGTGCGCAACATTCCAGCCT